CCCCTTCCCCCGTTTTTCTCAGTTCCACTTCCAGCCTGCAGCAGCAAAGTGGTTAAGAAGTAGATGTCACTTCCAAGCCTCTGGTCACACAAGATATCCCTTACTATTCGCAGTCTGTTTTTCCTTTAGGTGGGATGCATGTAAAATGGCTGTGCGAGTTCTTGAATGTTTCCTTTTTTGTTATCTGAGTCATAACACTTGACATCCCACAAGAGGCTCCCGTGGGACTGGCTGCCCTTGCCCTGCTGGCCTGGCTGCCCTTGCTCTGCTGGCCTCTGTGCTTTCTGTCTGCCACCCCACACCCCCTCCATGCCAGTACCCTCCTCCCTGACACTCCCCCAGCCTCAGAGCTTGGGCTTCACCTCTTACTCCCAACTGATGCTGCGGTCCACGCTAATCGGTGTTGTTTTGCAGTGTTAGCATACAGCAGCCGATCTGGTCAGTGCTCTTCAGGATCTGTTTTTGTCCCATTCACCCCTGTATGGTGCAGTTTCCTCTTCTTCAAACCACTCCTCTTTTCTCTTCCTCCCTTCTCGGAAACTTTCTGTGAACGCCCTCATACTTTCCTGTTTCCTGTGCCTTAAGGGACTGCTGGTTTGAATGTCCACTCTGCAGTGCAGTTTGCATCCCACAGTATTCGGAAGGGTATGTTTTACTGCATTGTGAAGTCCCAGATATGGAAAGTGCATATCTGGGTTCACATTATTACAAATTGGAGAATACCAGAGCCGACTTATTGCTGTTGAGCATGACACTTCCAGAGCTTCATTCTTCAGTGTCTCATGTGTGTCTTATTGATGACAGTATCTTAAAGAGCAGGCTTAACTTGCAGGTTGCACTTCAAAGTTTAAGAAGGTTTTTGTCACCACTGAATAGCATATGTGCAAACTCTTGTTTCATTTCGGAAATCATGTACTGTGAAGCAGCTTCTTTGAAGGATTTTTTTTTTTTTACAAGACATACAATATGGGGCATAAAATACAAAATCTTGGTTTTTTTTTTCCTGAAAATAATTGTTATATGAGTTTTATATAAATCTTTAAAAGATAATAAAAGAGATGAAGTGGTCCATCTTGGGTTTTTTTTTCACCTCCAATATCAAGTTTCCTTTGTCATAGTAACAGATACTGTTTAAAAAAATCCCCAAACAACCCTATATCTTTGTTCCACAAAGAATTAATTTTCTACAGAATGTCAGACTTAAGATGCTGAAGAACTCTCCATCTTTTGAAATTATTTCTTGTATTTTATTATTAAGTTTTTAGCTATTTGAGCACCTTCGTGGTAGGAAAACTAAAAAGTACTGTTTTTTAGGAGGCCTAGTTGCTCTTTCCTCACTTGATTTATGTATGCTAAACAAATACAGGGAAAAACAATAGGGTAAGCCTTCAAGTAGAGGAGTGTGGTCCCATTTGAAGATATCTATTTTCTTTTTAAATCCTCAACTTAAGTACAGAATTGTTAACACTCCTGGTTCTGCTTCATATTGCAGTAATGACCAGTTTAGGCTTTTGTATCCTTTTGTAAGCTTTGAAGGAATAGTGACAGTCTATTAATGAAAAATATACCCAAGGGGGGGCAGGGAGAAATATATTTCAAATGTAAACACATAAGTACATTTTTTAAGGTTTACAGGACCAGATAATTTTCTTAGGTTTTTTATAGACAAATACGAAATTGATCATTTGTTTGGAAGAACAGTATAAAACCAGAGTATCTTTTTTTCTCTGGTATTAGTTTATGTGTCCTCAGAATAGCTATCTAGGAAAAAGCAAATTTAGTTAGGAAAATGAATTCTTTTTTCTTTCAGAGGAGGACGAATACAGTATTTTCTAAAAGTGTTTTGGCCTCATTTTCAGTTCTTAATATTTCTTAGGAACAGATTAAGCAGCCAGCATCTTTTTTTCTTTTAAAGCAAATCTGCATCTAAGTTGCATTAAAAGTTTTTTAGATAGATTGGATTCAGTTAAACTTCTCTTTCATTTTTTTATTCATTTCATTTACGAACTACAGGACTGAAATTGAGATGCACTTGCAAATACAATGTTGGCATTTGTTTAGGATTAGTTGTTTTTCTAAAATAAAAAATTTGTTTTGGAGGGAATCATGGAGTAGCATACTTGATTTGTTATCCTGCGAGATGTTTAACTGCCATTAAATCACCCACAGTGTGGAAGTGGGGAATTTGCTTCATATTAGCTGGGTTAATGTTTATCATCTAACAATGATGTGGTTTTTGTGTGCCTTAGCATAAGAAAAGCTAAGATAAAATGGCATGTTAAGGTATCAGAATGTAAGGGGTTTGTCGCTACAATTAGCTTGCTTATATAAAATGAGTTGGTTTTGGTTTTACTCAATGACAATTTTTTTTTTTTTTTTTTTTTTTACCTTCCCCCTTCAAAACTGTGTTTGGACAGAAAATCCTCAGTTTCCTCATGTAGGAGAAGTTATTGATGGAGTGGACATGAGGGCAGAAGTCGGAGTTCTTACAAGGAACATCTTAATCAAGGGGGAGACAGAAAATACCTGCTATCGTGAAAAGGAGTGTCAGTTCTTCAATTATGATACATTTGGTGGACATATCAAGGTCTGAAAAACATTTTAAAGTAGCTTTCTGTCATGTAGAGGCATATTGAGGACAAAAAAATTAATGCTAAACTTGGAGGGATTTGAAAACTTACAGAACATCAGTTCATACAGTTGCATTGCATAGAAATAACTTCATTCTCAGCTTTCCCAAAATTAGATTTAACTCATCAATACTTAGTCTGCGGAGTTGGAGGAAGGGATGCGTGAAATGTAGATGTATCCAGCATATATTGCAATGCTGTATGGCAAGGATTAAACCTTACATGTGATGTCCACGCACGTGCATCGTGTAATATTACAGAATAATTTGATCTGTCTTTTCTCTGTCTTCCATCCTTTCACTACCCTTCAACCCCCTCAAGTGATGAGCATTGAATCTCAGAGATCAACCTCATCTGAAATTGGGCCCTAGTGAGGAATGAAGAGGAAAGAAATTGAGTTGGACTGTGGTGGGATTTTTTTTGTTTTGTTTTATTTTGCTGTGGCTTTTTGGGGGTTTCTTTGTTTGTTTGTTAAACTGAAAGAAACTAGGTTATGTAAAGGAAGCTGCTCCTAATTTCTTGGATTACCAACATAAAGAAGGCTGAGGGAAGGTAATATCATATAAACTAATATTTAAACTCGTATTCATTTATGTTTTTAGATTAAAGGATTGAGCTTTTTGAATGTATCAGCTTTTTACTGATGCTGGAGAAGTTTGAGACTTTGTATTTTAAATGCAAATGTGTTTGTGCTCATTGTGTGCTGATCACAGTTTCAGTCTCTTTTTCTAATATATTTGGATGCAGATTTTAATTTTACAGTGGTGTACATAATGGTGGGAAAGAAAATATGCCCTTT